TTAGTTCGCCAGCAGGCGAACTACTGACTTCGCCCCACAGGTTTTTATCACCTAGTTCGCCATATGGCGACCTGGCCAAGCTGAACTAGCTCGCCGTACGTCGAGCCGACCATCCCGAGCCTCGATCTCCCACATCCTTGATTCAAGGCATACGTCCTTCGACACGATCGTATTCCGAATCACGGTCGAAATGTCTCCCATTTCGTCCCGATCCGTCCTATCGTTCGAGTTTTACGATAAAAACCGTAAAACTTTGTTTTCTCGAAAAGAACTCGAGGAAATCGTATAAAACGACAACGGTTAAACGAAACACCGAATATTGCCTAAACTATACGATTTATTCGAGATTTTTCGTAAAAATCGTACAAAACACGTTTTTTATAAAATCCCGAGTAAATCATAGAAAACGGCAACGATTAATCGAAACATCAAACATTGCTTAGCTTTACGATTAACTCGAGAAACTTATCTAAAAACGGCATCGTATCAGGAAACGATCTCGTCTAAAATCGTAAAACGGATTTATCGCAAAACGGCTCGGAAAGTCATAAAACGCGATAAAAGCCACTCGCGACTTTAAACGAAGTCCAACCCGAAGATACGACGAAGTTTTGGCGATTTACTCGCAGAAAGAAGATGAATGCCAAACTTGAAGATAAATGTCAAGTTTGAGGATAAAAAGAAGATTTCCGCGGGAAAAAAGGAAAGATCGAGATAAATGGAAGATTCCCGATAAACTCGAATCTGGGCGAAATGGAAAGACTAAACTGCCTAGGAAGGGAGTATATAATCAAGAGGCACAGGGCAGAAGCAGAGGAACGAAATCCAGAGCTCTCATCTGAGACTTTCACAACTTTTCTAGACTTAGAATTTTCCGCACTTAGAAACTTAGGCTTTTTCTCGACAAGTTCGGTTTCTATGACTGGCGCTCAATTACTAGACGAACTCGCCCAGGCAGTTCGATCTCTGGTCCAGCCCTACCAACTGAACTACGTTCGAC